TGGTCGGTGGCGTTGCACACCAAGTCTGGGCATAAATGGGAGGTGCCTGGGAAAACAGAAGTGTGTGGGCTGAATGAATGAATGAATAGAAGTGACGTGGGTTGCTTGTGATAATCAGTTCATCGTCAATATTGACTATGACCAATTCATCGAGAATGCCCGCGAAGCCAAGAGAAGTTGATTAGCAGATCATAGGTAAGACCACAACCATGCAATGTGACAGTTTGATGATAGAAGACACAGTAAGGGGGGGGGGGAGATTCAGGAAGAAAACGGAGAGAGGGAGCGGAACAAGTAAGTACTAAGTAATGAAGTACTGGCCGTCAGCCCAGGAACCAAGAGGCAAAGATGGGACTGGCAATTCCCAGGCACAGCGATTGGATTGTTGTTTGGTTGCAAGGTAAACTTTCACCAAGATCGGTAACGTACGGTACCAACAGACGGGTTCCACCGTATCAGAGTCTTTGGTTTTCCCTTGCGGGAGAGGCAAGCCGAGGGGCAAATAGGGAAAAATCCAGGATAATTAGAAATAATAATCGAAATATAATAAAATAAAATAAAATAGAAAAATCAAGGTAAAAAAAAAATTAACCCTCCCAAGGCTCAGGCCCAAGGACACTGCGCCACGATACTCTAAAAGTAGAACAGCGTTAGAAGATAGAAGCAACAAGAAGGGAATAGTAGTTCAAATAGATGCAATGAGATGAACTGGCACCACGTTGAGTCAGGGCTGAGTGATAATGAGCGATAATGATGGAGAAAATTGCATCGAAAGTCACGGGGTGATGCTCAATGATGCCACCCAACGTCAATCCCACCTGTTGTACGGTAGTACTCGACCTGATGTCGGCCGGTATATCTCTCTGTATGGCTGTTTCGGGCCACAATGGGGAGAAAAGGCAGTAATCAATCGACTTGTTCCTCACTCGGTACTTCTTTTCTTTTTTCTCTTTTTCTGGATTTCTTTTCTTTTAGCGGTTTTTCTTTCAGAATATTCTCCTCCCTGCGTCAGGTATGATGTTCACAGTTGGGTTCCGCAGTAGCGGTGAATGGGATGAATTGGTAGGCGGAGCAACAGAAGGTAATATTATGGAGACTCCTTTTCCCACGACACGTTTTAAGACCCGCTTGCGTTTGAGATGTGAGGCAATTGGGGTCAAAGAGAGTAGAAGGATTGCACTCGTGATGTTGGTCAATCGCAAGAAGAAAAAGGATCCAAGAATAATAGTAATAAGAATAATAATAATACCAAGAAGAAATATCGAATGCAACAACAATGGGAATGGTCAATGGCCGGTAGTAGTTATAAAGAGCGGTCAATAGACAATTGTTCTATAGAATCAATCAATGATTCTGAATCTATCTCAAGGAAGCGATGAATAGTACGGTTTCACAAGTGAACAATTCATGGAATTGGATCGATCTGAAGATCAAACACCTCATGGAGAGGAGTGGTTATCGTCGTAGAGCTGAGATGCGGACCTGATGGCGATACAAATACCCAGTGGAAAAACTCTCAGAATGTCCACCTCCGGATAAAGTAATCTCATAGGAGGGTCGAGAGGCTTCAAGTGTAATACTGTTTGACTAAATTTCACCTATCACCCTTTTCGGAAGCACTACACCCAGGTCATCGCGTTTGATCCATCATACATCCTTGCATTCTCACTCGCCCCGAGAGAAAGCAGGGCTTACTCTTTGTCTGGTTCAGGAGTGTGAGAGTCACGACCCCTTCCATTCTTAGTTCCCAAGCCACACTGGGGTTAGTGCCTCCCGCGAAGAACATGTGTCTGCAGGACAGAAAGGAATTCCTGACCTTCTCTTCTGATCATTGAATTTGCCGAAACCGTTCGACTGATGGCAGATGAGCACGGTCGTCCTCCTGTCACCCGTCCGGTCTACCCACCCGTATTTGATTAGACCTATGCTTCTCGATTTTCCACGGATCAACGGTGGATTCTCATCCCATACGCACTAATCAAATAATCCAACAACCTCTGCGTCGCTTCTCGATGGATCAATCCTGGATCATTCTGACTCTGACCACCAACTCGGGGCCGACCAGTGAAAAAAAAAAGAAAAGAAAAGAAAAGAAAAGAAAAGGTGGTTTATTGGCAACGACAACGAGAAAACCCCGCACTAAAGGCGACTCCAGTCAGTGACGCTGACTCGTTGTGACTTACACCTTAGTTGCATTTGGGTCCAGGGATGGACACACCACTTCGCTTTCAAATCTCTTTTCCTATAGGCTGCGGTGCCCCCATTTCTGTTGCCTTCACCGGGAGGGGAATACTGTCCAATTATCGTACATCGTTTCCATGCAACTCCATCCGGTCCGCCTCACCAGGGATCATGGATCATGCTGCGGCTTCTGCAGTTGCGAATTGGCTCAGGGTCATTTCTCTGCTTTCCCCTTTTCATCATTCCCTACAGCTTGCATGTCAACCGATGTGGAGAACGTTCACTTCATGGCGCTGAAGGTTTTCTCGGCTCTATGCAGCGTTGCCCACCCCCTTCTCTCCCCAGACAACGCTGTGCTGTGTACGTACATACTTCGTGCCTGGAGGGGTATCCACGGTTGTAGCCACACGATCCGAACCCAGGCTCGCGTGAAACCGTCCCATGGGTCAAGCCCGGCAGGTTCCGCAGCGAAGAAATGGTACATCACGTAACTGATATGACTGATAAATCTACAGAGTAGGTACAGCCGTATTGATCTTTACCTCCGGAGAGAGAGAATACGATGCTAGAGTGCAAGCAAGCAAGCGCCCCGTACTCGGCGGCTATGTTGTCACAAGATTTTACCTCTATCACAAAGCTCCAGCGGCAAAGGCATCGCACCGTGTCAAATGTCGATCTATCACTTTGTTTTACCAATGGCGAGACCAACCGAAGCCAACCAACCAACTAAGCGGTTATGGTAATGTAGCTATTATTCATCACTCGATCTCTGGGATGCTTCCGCCAATCTGACTATCCGGTAACTGTCAGACTACCTTTACTTCCCGGTCCATGATTATGACACAGGCCGCCAAAGCCTTGCGAAAGAGATCCTTCTCGAAATGCGTAATTGGGCCCCTGGCTGCAGTCATCTGCACATGGAGCCTGTTGCACAGAGCGTCCAACCAGCTCAGCCGCTCTTCATGCAATGATTGTCCCGACATTAGGCTCGTTTCTGCTTCATGTTCCCGAGCGAGCGCATCCAATGATGACCCTAGGTTTCCTGGGCCTTCAGACGGTGTAGATCCCCCAAGCTCTCTGATGGAAGTACCTAACATAAGAATGATGCTGAAACCTTATCCAGAGTAAACCTGCTAGATTGTAGCTTCCATTTCGAGGAATCATTGGTCATCTATTCTTCACGCTTGGAACAGTGCAGGAGATTAAGCAGCGGGTCGTTGTTCCGATGCACAATTGATCTGTCTTCCACTCACCGACCGCCCACCATCCATTCCTGATGACCGAGTCTGGCCTGAAGCGTCGTGTTGGACAGTGCTGGTGATCCGGGTGATCGGCGTACCTGACTGGCTTACGTTATCGGATACATAACCTGATGTGGGGGGTGGAGAATGTTCGTTTTCATCGTGCCTCGTGGGAGTGTGATGGTGAGTTTCATGCGATCACCATCACCCTGATCGGTATCAATACTGTCACCGTACCAATGATGTTGGTCGGAACTAGTACCAAGGACATTTTGGATCTTATCAAGATAACCAGTCGGCGGCTAGAGATCGACTCCACTGGCCCCATTTCACTAATGGTCTTGTGAACAACGGAAATATTCAGGGTTAACGCGCCAAAGCGCCAGGTGGCGCCCCATGTAACTGTACTGAGTACGCCCATTCCATGGTATCAGTTACCGTATGGTGTGACTAAGAATTTGGGACAACACCCCTCTTTAGTTACCTTCATCCAGCCCAAACGACCCATTCAGTGAGAACAAGGTCCCTCGACGATGGTACATGGGAATTATTACCTCAGGAAAACATCTGTGACAAGGCTAAAGTTATTCCTCCCTGATCGAGGAGTCAAGTTTCGTCTACAACGAACAAAGAACAGGTCTACTGGGCAATGCATCCCTGCTGGTTAACAACCCCTCACTAAGTCGGATGCGATCCAGCGCAGAGTACGGAGTAGGATTAAGGTAGTCAAGGATCCCACGTTTATACTAACCATCCAAAAAGTTGATATCCAGCTCCTAGCCATGGTTCGATCCTGGATTACACATCCTGTGGCTGATTTAGTCACGACCATCACTTCTTGACCGGAGAAATGCCTCGAGTGCAGATGACTCGGTTATTTGCCTCTCTCCGGAAGTTGCTCTTCTTTGTTTATCTTGTGCTACATTGTCGAGGTGTTGGATGTAAGGTTATTTCGCGCAGAGGTTGGAAGCTAAGCTGTGGCGAATGATTTCAGTGGCTATGCTTTGTCCTCTTCATTTTATTGTTCTAGTTCTAGTTCTAGTTCTTTTTATTTATTTATTTATTGATTGATTGATTGATTTTCATTTCTTAGAAAAAGAAATGTTGGCACCTAGGGAGTCAGTCTCGGTTTAGGTACATACCTCAGTGACGATATGGCACAGGGAAGGGTGAGACTCCAGCCAACTTAATGCACCAGTTGCATACCCGTGCCTATGCCCATGTAACAGTACCCTCCATGATGTAATACACAAAAACAAACAACCTCCCATTACACTATCAGGCAGGAAAGTAATTGCACAGGAAAGAATAGTTCGCCATTTGTTCCAAGGCAGCCGTGCATGCTACCCCGATCCAAAGGGCGAACCATACGTCAAGGATAGGTCAAAGCTCAAGCTATCTGCTACCAGACGGACAGCACTAGGAAGCCAATCGCTGCGTTGTCTCGAATGAGTTTGAAGAATCGATACAGAGGGACAGGTTTCAGAACCTTTGCCGATGGCGCGCGGTCAGTGGGTACTAGATGCATTCATTTGGACTGGGCGATGTATCTCGCAGTGGTTGGCATGTCCACGGGATTTATTCTCGCCATACAGGGAGCTCCAAGTCCACAACTATGGGAGGATTGAATTGCTTCCCTCCGCGATGAGGCCAGCTCGTTGCCATGATCGCCGCGTTGACGACGCAGGTTTCTCGTCGGCGCGAACGATCGTTCGGTGGGTCATTTGGGCATTCGTCTGGTCTTGATAGAGGATATGACGTTGTGGAATCCTCAACTTCATCAGCAGATGGGAGGATCAGGATATTCTGCGCTGGAGGGAAAAGCGCACCCTGATTCTTCTTCGCTTCGTTGAAGAAGAATTCGTCATTCTCCAGTTGCTGCGCTTTCCTGCCCGTTAGGTCGATCAAACTTTGCTTCTTACTTCTCGGTTCAGGCAACGCCCCACGAATAACCTGCTCTGGCCTTGTCGACGGCGACAGTGACCATCGTACTCGCTCATAGCCTCGCGACTCGTGGACATGGCCACAGATCGCCAGGGAAGGGCGGACTCGACCCAGCGCCTGACGCAGGGCCTCGCACCCAACGGAACCACCGGTCGCTCGGCGGTCGCAATGGGAACGAGGCGGCGTGTGCGTAACAACGAGATCGGTGTCCAATGGGATGCGGCTCCAGAGGGCAACGGCGTCGACGGATTCGTATCCCCATGCCCAGGTCCCGGGTGATTGGGAGAAGGGCGATCCGAATACTTTAAAGATGGTGTTTGGGCCGTTGGGCCGGGTCAAGCGGACTAGTGCTGACTGGTGCCTGAGGAACACAATCGAAGACGATGCAGTTATGACTTCGATGCATTTCTGGGGATCTTCTAGGCGCTGATTGTGGAATTCGGGGCCGTGTTTGGCGTAGAAGTTTGGGTCTAGTGTAATGTCGTGATTTCCTGTGAGTTTAACCTGATTTAGTAATTTCGTAGCAAGGCTGAGTTCTTTTAAAGGGGAAAAAAAAAGGTGGTGGTAAATATAGCCTGTGCAGGGCTGAGGCTTGCGTCTGGGGCAGTCGGACTAACCGCAGATGACTATTTTGACCTCGAAATCAGCCGCGGCCACCCAGTCGATGGTTTTGCGCAGCTCGGTTATGCTCCCTTGGTTTGTTAGGTCGCCTGCGTGGATGAGGACGTCGCCGGCTGGAAGTTTGAAGCCGGCTTCAGCTGGGGTGTAGCCGTGGGTATCAGAGACACAGACAAAGCGCGTCTTGCGACGCATGTTTCCATTGTTGAATGAGAAGCAGTGAGCAAAAACACTTTGCTAATTGACAAAGGATTACCATGGGACCCACAGGCAATGCTTGAATTGAGATTGCCATAACATCATCCTTCGGACGAGATCTACTCCATACTATGGGTCCAACGATAAGGTATCTGTACCACCCTTTTGAGCTAGCTTAATAAAAAGAACTTCTCCAAGCAAATTTGACAGGTCCCAAGACTCCAAGCCGCCCGTAATAAAAAATCTGGCCACTGGGGATCAAAGCGGACAGACCCCAGTCTAGAACCTGCGGGCCAATCAATCCCGGTGGATGGTGCCCATGAGAAAAGCCGGCGATTCCGATAGTGGAGACGGAGTGGCCTGAAGTCATGACCACCTTCAAATCCCATGGCATTCTTCTTTCCTCTCCTGTCAGACAGGCGATCTCCCGATCCTGAAACAGGCAACAGTTTTCCACCCTCAGGGCCAGCCATCTTATCGTCCCCCCGACTGAGGGTACCATCACCACACCACAAGCTGTTTGGCACAATGCCCCGCTGGAATCGCAAAAAGAAATCTCAGGCGAAAAATGAGATACCGAATAGCACCAATCCCGCGGTGGTGCCGTTCGACAACTTGACGGCCGTCGCTTCCCTCCGCGCGGTGTCCAGTAATCCCTCCGATGCGACCAAATACGCTGAATTGAATCCCGCCGAGCTTCGAAAGCTCGCGAAGCTGCATGCCGAGTTCGGCCCGCTCGGGGATCCGTCGCATCTTTACAAAAGTGAGCATCTGGGCGGCGAGATACCGGACCCGGTGCTTGATGAACCTCCTTACTTTATTGCCTTGACGACGTATATCAGCTTCCTAGTTCTCCTTTTCTTGGGTCACTTTCATGATTACTTTGCGAAGTGGTTCCGATCGCATACGTATCGTCACTTGCGGCCTCAGAATGGATATGCTTCGCTGTACAGTGATTTCGAGAGCTTCTACACGAGGCGTCTTAAACAGAGAATTAACGATTGCTTCGAACGACCCACAACGGGTGTGCCCGGCAGGTATATCACCCTGCTTGATCAGACGTCAGAGGACAATCTCCATTTCCAGCTAACGGGAACGACGACCGATACGTTAAACTTGAGTTCGTACAACTATCTCGGGTTCGCTCAGTCCGAGGGGCCTTGTTCTGACTATGCGGAGGAGACTATTCGCCGGGATGGTATCAGTATGGCAGGATCTTGCAGCGAGGCGGGGACTTCCAAGCTTCATCTCGAGGTAGAAAACCAGGTTGCTAGGTTTGTCGGAAAGGAATCTGCGATCGTCTACTCGATGGGCTTTGTCACCAACGCCACTATCTTCCCAGCTCTTGTCGAACGGGGTTGCCTGATCCTGTCAGATGAGCTCAACCATGCATCTATTCGTTTCGGCGCCCGACTCTCGGGTGCGGCCATTCAGGTCTTCGCACATAATAACATGGCTGACCTTGAGAAGCGCCTGAGAGAAGCAATCTCCCAAGGTCAGCCACGCACCCACCGACCATGGAAGAAGATCCTTGTCACTGTCGAGGGCCTTTTCTCTATGGAAGGCACTATGTGCAACCTTCCTAGGATCCTCGAGCTCAAGAAACGATACAAGTTCCACCTCTTTGTTGACGAGGCGCATTCGATCGGTGCCGTGGGGCCCCATGGACGTGGTGTCTGTGACTACTTCAAGGTTGACCCTGCCGAGGTCGACATCCTTATGGGCACTTTCACTAAATCTTTTGGCGCCAATGGTGGCTACGTTGCTGCTGACAAGGCGATCATCGACAAAGTGCGCTTTACAAACGCCGGCCAGGTTTTTGGCGAGGCACCGGCGCCTTCGGTTTTGGCACAGATCTATTCTTCCCTTCGCCTCATTGCCGATGAGGACCCTCTCCACCCAGGCCAGGGTATCGAACGAGTGCAGCGCCTGGCCTTTAACTCCCGGTACCTGAGACTCGGACTCAAGAGACTTGGATTCATTGTCTACGGACACGATGACTCACCGATTGTTCCTCTCATGCTCTACAACCCTGCCAAGATGCCGGCCTTTTCTCATGAAATGTTACGGCGTAAGATCTCCGTCGTCGTCGTAACCTACCCGGCAACCCCGTTGGAACTCTCTCGCGCCCGATTCTGTGTGTCCGCTGCGCACACAAAAGACGACCTCGACCGCATACTGCGGGTATGCGATGAGATAGGAGATGCCCTGGAGCTCAAGTACTCGACCGGTGTTGCGGGCGGTTTGAGGGACCCTCCCTCCGACGAAGGCCTCAAGGGAGGTAGGAAGACGATTGAGCCTCCTCGCTGGGATATCGAAGAAGTCATCGAGAGAGGTACGCGAGACGCCAAATTGCCCCTGTACTGAAGTGCATGCCACAAATCAGGGACATCTTTTACTGCCTGTTCACATCTCACCTCGACGCTGTAACGAAAGCCGGTCATGTTTCCTTCTACTTTGGAATCTTTGTGGATATATGTATAATACGCCGCGATGAACGAGCACAAGACGTATAGTATAACAAGTAATAATAATAGTCAACATCATTCTCATGTCGTTAATCACAAAATACTACTTAGTCAGCAGACCCAGTGATCTTCATTTCTATACTAGAGTTTTAGATAAGGTCTCGGTAATTGGAAGTATATCAATCTTAAAGCAAAATGTTGAAGGCTACTACAGAGGTACAGTTTTACAGAAGCGCCTCTATACCACCCGGCTATAGGTCCAACCAAGAGATCAACCACCGTCTATCTTAGCTATATTGCGTGACCCCGTATACCCCAGAGATTGCAAATGAGATGGATTTCTACAAGGTAGCCCGTGTAGAGAGTAAGGGACATCGTGCTTGGTGGTGATTGCTTGTGCCTCTGTACGGACTTGAACGGTTTGGCGACTGCAGTTCCGCCCAATTGTACTTGCGGGGCGGGGAGCGATAAGTGTGCGGAATGATTGATACCATCTACTATCGACCACTTAATCTTTGACATCACCGGCCTTGAAAACCGCAAGGTAACCCCCTGATAAGGGTAAATGATAGTGGAGCGGGCCTATCAGGTCAGAACAGAGGCCGACGGGGCTGGAATCTCCGGGTGCATCACGTGACGGGGCCAAACGGGATTGGCCGGAGTTAGGGCTGGGGCCCTCCTCAACCTTACCCAAGCCGCACATTAGCCTCGCTTAGCCAGCGTGCGAACTCATCCGACTTCGTTGTGTGCGTAGAACCTGCCCACAACGACAACAACCGCCGACAACATACATCCCAAGGGAGTATCCTAGAGCAGCGCTCTTCCTTTCGCTGGATATTTTCGTGACAGAAGAGCAGGATGTCCTCCACCGAGCCAGTCGTGCGTACACCCCCTTCACATGCAGTCGCTTTCCGGGTGGAAAACCTTCGTGATATATCTTTTGAAGACATTGAATTGCCGTGGATGCGGAGAGGACAAGAGAGAGATATAGGAGAAGGGAAAGACACTCTGTTTGGGTTTGCAGTGATCGCTGACTTGTGATGGATTTTGGCAGGTCGTCATTGACGGCAAGGGACACCTTCTTGGTCGTCTGGCCAGCACTGTTGCTAAGCAGCTGCTCAATGGCCAGAAGATCGTCGTCGTGAGGTGTGAAGCCCTCAACATCTCCGGCGAGTTCTTCCGCGCGAAGCGTACGTTATCCGACCCGATTCACTTTTCTACTTGTTGCTTTTTTGGAAGTTTGGCCGATTGGAAGAAGTGTTTGCAAAGAGGAGGAAGTCTACACAAAGGATTACGCAAATGGCGGTGGAAACAGCATATGATATTATTACTGGTGCAGACGGACTGACATGGATATCGGGATATAGTCAAGTACCACGCCTATCTTCGCAAGATAACCCGTTTCAACCCTACTCGCGGTGGTGAGTGCAACCGACAGAAAAATCGACGCAACTCCGTGGGCTTGTGCTGAATGATCACAGGTCCCTTCCACTTCCGTGCGCCCTCTCGCATCTTGTACAAGGCCGTCCGCGGAATGATTCCCCACAAGACCGCCCGTGGTGCTGCTGCCATGGAGCGCCTTAAGGTCTTCGAGGGTGTTCCTCCTCCCTATGACAAGAAGAAGCGTGTCGTTGTTCCCCAGGCTCTCCGTGTCCTCCGTCTCCGCCCCGGCCGCAAGTACTGCACCGTTGGCCGTCTCAGCCACGAGGTTGGCTGGAAGTACCAGGACGTTGTCGCCAGGTGCGTATTAGATATACCAGAATGGATAGCGGAGGCATTTTCGCTACAGGGGTGGCTGGATCATGGCTAACGGGATTTTTTTTTCTACTACAGACTCGAGGAGCGCAGAAAGGTCAAGAGCAGTGCATACTACGAGCGCAAGAAGGCCGCTCGCCGCCAACTCGTCCAGGCCCAGAAGTCGGCGGGTGTCAGCGACCAGACCAAGAGCCAGCTTGCTCAGTACGGATATTAGATACCTCGTTGCGCGGCTGGTTGCTTGTGTCTTTGATGGGATGGGTTGGGATCGCGAACGGTTTTCTTTCAGCGAGATTGTTTGGACGGCGAACCGATCGACCTTGTTCTCACTGTCCCTACCTTATCATGAATATTCCACAATGATCATGTTGTGACGCACATGGAGGCTGGAGAGACCGATTTCTTATTATAAAAAATAACGGAGTCGCTTGGGATGAAAGGTTGTTCAAAATAGCCGACCTTTATTTCGCGCCGTGGCGGTTTAATCCAAAGAATTTTTCTTTCCGAGTTAAGAATGACTCTACGACCGGTTACTTATCAAACTTTTCCCATTCAGTAAACTTCGATATCTACTTAATACATAGACCGAATAATCACCCTTATCGACCCTGATCACTCTTCATGCCCATGCGATCCTAGGCCCGGTTACCCAACACTGCAGGTCCTTCTCATCGTCCCCAGGTGTACACCCAGTTGCCGCCCACAGATGTGATGAGCGGGTGATACGTAGATCAAATGTGACGAGATAAACCCTGCATTGGACTCCTTCGTGATCACACACCCATGCGCGTAATGTCCCTATACCATTGGTGTCTCTTAATAGTGTGGCAATGGTTTGGTCAACTGAGCCTATTATTTATAACTGATACTATACACTGTATTTCATACTGATACGCCTAGATATATTAATCCGCTGCTAAGCGCCGTACATGTGATATGCCTGCAGCGGATTTTGTCTTTCGACTTACCGCCACAGATGATCATGATCAGATATGTTTTACTTTCTATTTCATGGGTACTCATGGCTCTAATAATACGTCAGTAAATATATTATTTGCGATCCACTACCCAAACATAAATATCAGAACAAGATCGGAGGTTGCTATTAGTAGTAGCCTCGGTACGAATAGGGCCTAACCAATAACCGATCACCTTGGCACGCCTTACTAATGGCTACTGAACGAGGGTAAACAAATCAAGGGGAGAAAGAAAGGATTACGCAAGGAGCGAAACAGTCACCCAAAAATGAAGTAAAACAACCCACTACTTAACTATATCGAACCCTTTCTAAATCCAAGAATGACAAGTAGCACCTCCGGATAGAAGGAAGGGTATCCTCAGCGGCAATCAAATCGATCCTCCCGCGGTCCGAGCTAGTTTCGATTTCCCCGCATTTCGCAGGTTTCTCCAACTTGGGGTCAGACTCAACAGGTGGTTGTGCCAACTTACTCTTGTTTTCTCGAGGGGTTGTCTATAATTACTGTATCTTGGTTGAATATTTCCTGCATGACCTGTGACTAACCGGTCTAAATTAACTAGCCCTTTTAGTTCATAGAATTGTCATCATACTTGTTGCCGAGGATCGAATCATGTCCGGTGCCGTATCGCGGTTGTCGGGACTCTTGGGTCATTTTGTCCCTGGCGCAGAGCAACGGGTGAATTTCCATACGCTGTCGCCGACGTTCTTCTTGCCTAGGGCGGCGGCTATTGAGCCTGAGGTTTGTTTTGACTTTCTTTCTTTCTTTCTTTGGCGGTTGGGTTTCAAGGGGTGTGGTTGAGTGCTAATGTTAGGGGACAGGCTGAGGCGATTCATCACGTTACTGCGAATAACCAGGTTTTGAGACGGAATTATGCCGAGACAGCGGATCGTGCAAGGGGTCTTGCGTATTATCTGAAGAAGCATGGGTTCAAGAGAGTCGGTGTTCTGTGCCCTAATACGCCTGCGTTTTTGGAGTCGATCTTTGGGATTGCGGCCGCTGGGGCGGTGAATGTTGGTGAGTTGTATATTTCCCCTCAAGGTTGATCGGGTTTCGGCTAATGGGTGGTTGGCTAGCTGTAAATTATCGGTTGAAGGAGGACGACATCGCTTACATATTTACGCACTCTGATGTTGAGGCTATTATTGTTGATCAGGAGTTCCTGTCGCTTCTGCAGAGTTATCGTGCTTCGAAGCCCAGTATCCCTATCATTGTCGATACGGATACGGATGCTACCGAAGGTCAATTATCCGGTCCCTTTGATGAGGCAGTTTTGGAAGGCCTGGGTTATGACTTGGATACGGGGGCCAAAGGTTGGCCTGGGCTCGAGGCCCAGGCTGCTTCCGAAGACGACGTTATTGCCCTGGCTTATACCAGCGGCACGACGGCTCGACCAAAGGGTGTCGAGTATACCCATCGTAGCTGTTATCTTGCTGCGATGGGCAATGTGGTTGAGTCTGGGCTCAATTCGCACCATGATCGGTGCCGGTATCTGTGGACTTTGCCCATGTTTCATGCTGTTGGTTGGTGTTCATTACTTGGATTATCTTTTCGAGGGTATTTGCAGCTAACTTTGTTTAGGGTGGACGTTCCCGTGGGCTGTCACGGCAGTGCGTGGTACCCATTACTGCTTGCGGAAGATTGACTACCCGCAGATCTGGAATTTACTGAAGCAGGAGCACATTACGCACTTTAATGCCGCTCCAACGGTGAATACCATGCTCTGCAATTCTAAGGAGGCGGAGCGGCTGCCCGAGCCTGTTCACGTTACAGTCGCAGCGAGTCCGCCTACGCCTCATCTCTTTGAGCAAATGACTAACTTGAACTTACATCCTGTGCATGTATATGGCATGACGGAGACATATGGGCCGATCACAAAAGGCTACTACCTGCCTGCATGGGACAATCTGCCGCCAAGTGAAAGATATAAGAAGATGGCTAGGCAAGGACATGGCTTCGTGACTAGTCTACCCGTACGAGTGGTGAAGACGGATCTTCCCGAGGGAACTATCGTCGATGTTAGTCGGGATGGTAAGGAGATAGGCGAGATTGTGTTCGTCGGGAATATCTGTGCTCGGGGCTACTACAAAGACCCCGACGCTACGCGGAAACTCTTCGCGGGTGGCGTTCTCCACTCCGGAGACTTGGCTGTATGGCATGCCGATGGCTCGATCCAGATCCAAGACCGGGCGAAAGACATCATTATCAGCGGTAAGTCTTGAATTTGAATGATACATCGTGATCCCTTTCTTGCTAATAAGCAAAATACAGGCGGAGAGAATATCTCATCGGTAGCGCTGGAGTCGATGCTGGTCACCCACCCAGATATTCTTGAGGCAGGAGTTGTAGCCGTTCCCGACAGCCACTGGGGAGAACGGCCAAAGGCATTTGTGACGGTCAAGTCGGGGAAATCGTTGACTGGTTCAGAGGTGATCGATTGGGCGCGAAACGCCAGCGATATCAGCAAGTTCATGATTCCTCGGGAGGTTGAAATCGTGGCGGAACTGCCCAAGACTAGTACCGGGAAAGTGAGAAAGAATATCCTCCGTGACTGGGCTAAAGGCGCGAACCGATCATGAAGGAAATGTTTAAAATGGATATAAACATGCATAGACAAGTTAGACAATATACATCAAATTTTCTGAGATTAGGTTGCGCCAGCATAGGCTGATATTATCCCTGTTGGTTCCCAATCAACATACTTTTAGGGTCTTGCTGATAGTTCTGCCGCCATGCCAATAGGTCCCATTTTCGGAAGGGGGGCAGTAGACCCGACCTTGCCTGAGCAGATCCTCATTTGGGTTGCAAAAGGGGGCGGGACTCGATAGGCTGCCAAGCGGAAGAATCTGTGGCCCATCGAGAGGGCTGTGGTGGGGTGATTGATGATATATATTCAATACTAGCAGTAGTTAGTATAGTGTACTATATTTGGTGGATAGTTGCTGAACAGGTGGAGAGATCCGTGTGTCTGATGACACGCCATAAGAGGGGAGAGCAATGCGAGATGACCGACGATAAAGAGAGAAGTACTACATACTACTACTACTACTAGTAGTAGTAGTAGTAGTAGTAAGATATGTATGTCTGCCTTGATTCAGGATCCTTAAATGTCAGGCAGGGTCTAAGTATGGATGAACTACTACTATACTACTATGTAGTTAGTAGTAGTACTCTTCACTCACTAAGGTAATTGCCTTAAAACTAGGTTAGTAAGACTTAGGTCCAGACGGCGTTAGCGGTAACCAATCGGGGCACGAGACCCGACCGATTTGGGAGTCTTCCAACTTTTGCCCTCAATCAAGCGAAGATCCTCACTCCCCCCCCCCCCCAAATCACCCACTTGGTTATCCCTCTCATTGCTGACATCTGACTCGTCCGTATTTCATTCTCATTCTTCGTTTCCCAGTGTCGCCCAAAAGAACTGGCATTCTGACAAATAACGGAACAGTCCACACCCCACGGAACGCAAGCAGAAACGGATTCGCTTACTTCTTCCCCTCCCTTCCGCTGAATCGCAGTCGCCGCCTTCCCTTTCTTCACAGCCGCCCGATCGTCTGGCTATATAATCTCCGCCCCACGAGTCCCCTAGCCAAACCGTTTTCGATCATAGCTTGGAGTGCGTCTCCCAGCCGTGCTCACTTCACCCATCCGTCACCAGGAACATTTGCACCTCCCTCGCATCCCTCCGCCGCCGCCTTTCCTTCTATTCACCCCCTCCCTTGCCTTCTACAGGCACTTCCAACGCGCGTTGCCCCTTCTTAAGCGCCTTCACTCCCCCGTTCGACTGGCCGGCCTTCGACACAGCTTTTTAGAGCCAGACCATATTAAAAGAAAGTCGTCTCATCTTCTGTTCAATTTTCCGATCCAGCAGCCAGAGGAGCGATCTTAAACAAGAGTTGCGCCGACTCTTGCTAGGGCCTTCTTCGCCTCGATGGTCTTATAGAGACGCAATCCATGCCGTACGTTTCCGTCAGTTTGTGAGATATCCCACAAACCGATCATTCCAACCTATCTGAAACACGCTGGATTCGCATCCCTCGGTGGTCCTCATGCCCCGCTCACGGCAACCCGCTCGGTTCTCGAGCGAAGCTCCTTCCGAGTCGTCATCCTCATCATCCCCGGACCGGAACGTTGATGACGACACCGATTTCTTCACAGCCCAGGCAAATGATTCGCAATCGTCTGTTGGAGGCATCGCAACCTCCCGCGACGTACACGCACAACATGAGCAGTACGTGCTCCCGCCGATCGGACGCCTTCCCCCGGAAATTCTGATCGCCATATTTGCAAAGCTCAGTTCGCCGGCCGACATGTTGAGCTGCATGCTGGTATGTCGAAGATGGGCTGCTAATTGTGTTGGAATACTATGGCACCGACCGTCTTGCAGCAACTGGGTCAATATGAAGAGCATTACGACGACAGTTGGGAAAGAAGACGGCTTCTTCTCGTACTCCGATCTGATCAAGAGGCTGAATCTTTCTGCCTTGATGGAGGAGGTCAGCGACGGCACCGTTGTACCCTTCGCACAATGTAACCGGATCGAGCGGTTGACTTTGACCAACTGCTCAAAACTTACGGACAAGGGAGTATCAGACCTAGTGGAAGGCAATCGGCATTTGCAAGCCTTAGATGTCTCGGATCTGCGTTCTCTTACGGATCACACTTTATACACTGTGGCCAGGAACTGTCCTCGGCTCCAGGGGCTCAACATCACCAACTGTATCAAAGTGACAGATGATTCGTTAATTGTCGTATCGGAGAACTGTCGACACATCAAGAGAGTGAGTGCCGTCTTGAATCATTGTATCACCAAGGCTAACATATGGATCAGTTGAAACTCAACGGTGTCATACAAGTTACGGATAGAGCGATTACATCGTTTGCTCGGAACTGTCCGGCTATCCTTGAGATCGACCTGCACGACTGCAAGTCTGTCACCAATCGTTCCGTAACTTCCCTCATGGCTACCCTTCCCAACCTCCGCGAACTACGGCTCGCGCATTGCACAGAGATAGACGATCTAGCCTTCCTGGAACTCCCAAAGCAACTCTCTATGGACAGCCTCCGTATACTTGATTTGACAGCGTGTGAGCACATCAGAGACGATGCTGTAGAGCGCATAGTTAGCTCAGCTCCTCGCCTACGAAATCTTGTGCTTGCCAAGTGTAAATTTATCACCGACCGTGCGGTGTGGGCTATATGCAAGTTGGGAAAGAACTTGCATTACGTTCACCTGGGCCACTGTTCGAACATCACCGATGCGGCTGTGATCCAGCTTGTGAAGTCCTGCAACCGGATCAGATACATTGATTTGGCTTGTTGCGTTCGTCTGACGGACCGCAGTGTTCAGGAGTTAGCAACGTTGCCGAAACTGCGGCGGATCGGTCTGGTCAAGTGCACCTTGATCACCGATCGCAGTATCTCGGCACTAGCGCGGCCAAAGGCCTCGCCTCATTCATCCATCAGTAGCCTGGAGAGGGTCCATTTAAGCTACTGTGTTAACCTGACCATGCCTGTAAGTCTTCCGATCGGTCAATGCTCCTTGCCAAGAATCAATTGTCTCACATGTGATACAGGGAATCCACGCTCTACTCAACCATTGTCCTCGGCTCACCCACCTCAGTCTGACCGGGGTGCAGGAGTTCCTCCGGGATGAGCTTACCAAGTTCTGCCGTGAGGCACCTCCGGAATTCACGCATCAGCAGCGGCAAGTGTTCTGTGTATTCAGTGGTGACGGCGTCAAGCAACTCCGCGACCACCTGAACCGAACCGTCCCTCCGGCCCGGGAAATGAACGAGGCTACCATGTATGACGATGACGAAGAATTAGATGAGGACGAGGGTCAAGTGACTGGCCTGATGCATGCGACAGCAATTAACGACGACGATGACGACTATATTGACATTGGACATCCTCAAGGTTGATACCCCTGCCTTATACCTTTGAGCGTATCTCGTTCTTCTTTCTTTGATTTGGCCTCAGCGTTTTTATTCATTCCGCGTTGTTCTCTCAGACGAATCTGGGCACGGTGCGGGCGTTGCTTTTACGAAGTGGCTGTCGCGGTTGATCATATGGGACATGCATTGGTAGCGGTACAGGGGCTGCCTTCTAGGTTGTTTATATCTGTCCGGGACTAGGCATATATGCGGTCGCATTGGAATGAAGCTGCCACGTAGCTATGCTGCCATACTCGGCCTGGTGGAGGAAACGGAACACCAGCAACAGGATATATACAAATTCCTACGGTTGCTGCTGGGGATGTATAGATTTTATCTAAGTACGGCGTATTGCGTCCAGGACTCGGCACTATTTGTAGCTACATATTGCATCAATGGCGTTGGAGCATTCCAAAATAAGATTGTATTTCTAGCTAGACATTAGAAGACTTAGGTTATGCCATGTATTTGATTTCCTTGAAGGATTGGCGAGTCTAATGTAAGGCGTGTATTTGATTCCTTTAAGGTCTGAGTTCTAGTTCCTCATCAAATCTTTTACTGTCGCAAGAGATCAGATCATATGCGACCTATACTTAGACAGACAACGCTAACCCAATTGGGGATGCTGCTTGCTTGAGTCGGCTGACATCATTGGAAGTGGTGGTGTCCGCGCGCATTAAATGTTCAGTTCCGTTTTAAGTCCCCCCCCCCCCACTTCCCTTCCGCCTTGATGCGCGATCTCCAATTCTCTCTCTCTCCACATCGCCAGCGTCTGGAAGCCCGCGTCTTAGTCGTCACTCGCTCCTGGGCTGGATCCCTTGAAAAGAGGCCGACATTTGATGGCTTATCTCCGATTGCCGCGGGCTAACCCGCTGGCATTCACTCGCTGGCCTGTTACTATAATCACCGCGATCGTTTATCTGGCGTTGCTGATCCCGTTGCTGGTCGTGCACCATGTTGTACCTTCCGCTCCCAGCTCCCCACCTAGCGGTCTGAACATTTCGGAAGCTTGGGCTGATCTTCAAGTCCTAACGAACGGCTTCCATCCATACAATTCGCGTCGAAATGATGCCATCCACTCTTGGTTACTGAGACGGATCAGCGAGATCCTGGACGCCACGCCTTCGGAACAAGAGTACCGAGCTCTTGACGAGGAAAAGCCGGATGTCTTTGTCTTCGATGACGTGTACTCGAACCTGACCACTTATGGGGGTACCCTGAAGGATGCAGACCTCGGCGTCTATTTCGAAGGGACCAATGTCATCGTTTATATCCGTGGGTGGGAAGACGAGACAGAACATTGGTGGGAAGCACCGAACGGGGTGCCGATGAGTAGGGGAGGCGTGCTTGTGAACTCGCACTATGATAGTGTCTCGACCGGTTTCGGGGCTACCGATGATGGCGTCGGCGTTGTCACTTGCCTTCAGCTCGTCAAGTATTTCACTACGCCGGGACATGCTCCGCGGCGAGGTCTCGTGGTGCTGTTTAACAATGGCGAAGAAGATTTCTTGAATGGCGCGCGCGTGTATAGTCAACACCCGATCTCGAAGTTACCTCATACTTTCCTTAATCTGGAGGGCGCGGGAGCTGGTGGACGGGCGACTCTGTTCCGGAGCTCCGATTTTGAGGTCACAGGCCCGTATATGCGGTCGCCGCATCCTTTCGGATCGGTGCTCAGTGCTAATGGATTCGATATCGGATTGATCGCCAGTCAGACGGACTATGTCGTTTTTCAAGGGAATATGGGCTTGCGTGGCCTAGATGTTGCCTTCATGGAGCCCAGAGCGAGGTATCATACGAATCAAGATGATACTCGGCATACGAGCAAGGACTCGGTCTGGCATATGCTATCGGCGGCGGTTGCCACGACTGAGGGACTTGTATCCGACTCGACCGATCGTTTTGACGGCTCGCCGAACACCGATGGGGGCGTTCCCAGTGGATCTGGCTCCAAGGCTGTCTGGTTTGACCTGTTCGGAAGCACTTTTGTGCTCTTCGAGCTTCACACGCTGTTTGCATTGCTGGTGACTCTACTTATTGTCGGCCCCCTTACTTTACTCTTTACGAGCATCACCCTTACAAAAGCAGACAAGATGTATCTGTTCAGATCATCGGCGAAGTCTGAAGATCATCTCGATGTGGTACACCTGCAGGGCCTTCGGGGCTTCTTCCGCTTTCCGTTTCTCTTTGGAATCCCGACCGTCGTCGCTGTGGGCCTGGCGTATTTGGTTACCAAGGTCAATCCGTACATCATTCATAGCAGCGCTTATGCGGTCTGGAGTATGATGGCGGCTGCATGGGTCTTTTTGGCCTGGTTCGTTTCCCGTGTGGCCGACTTTGCTCGCCCGTCGGCCTTCCATCGTATCTACACCCTCACCTGGATGTACATTCTCTCCTGGGTTTCTGCGGTGATTGCTACAGTGTATGCAAACCAAAGGGGTCTGGCGGGTGGGTATTTCATCTTCTTTTTCCATGCTGGTATTTTCTTAGCCACGTGGATCTCCTACCTGGAGCTCTTTGCCCTGCCGTCCAAAACCGAGTATGCGAGCCAGCTTAGGCCAGCTTCAGGGCGGGTCAGTGGCCACGGTAGCCGCCGAGGTACGACTTCCGGCGAGGACGACGGAGAGGAGGCGGAAGAAGAGCCAACGGAGTCAACGTCCCTGCTGGGCAGTGGGCAGCGGACTACGTTCGCAAATTATGTGCGAGTTGGTGGAGATAATCATGCATTAGCAGACGAGGAGGTGGTCGATCCCAACGTCTATGGCCGCGAACAAGCATGGAGTTCCGCATTGCCCAAGTGGACGTGGGTCTTGCAGCTTCTTCTCACTGCTCCGATTACCCTCATTATGGTCGGACCCCTTGCGCTCCTAACGATCAGTGCCATTAGCCAGACAGGACAGGACGGGGGTTATCCGCTTTTTGCCTACGTCGCCATCGCCATATTCACGACGATTATGCTCACGCCACTGCTACCCTTCATCCACCGGTATACCTACCACATTCCCTTGTTCCTGTTAGCGGTCTTCCTGGGTACCCTGATCTACAACCTCGTGGCTTTCCCCTTCTCAGATTCCAACCGGTTGAAACTTTACTTCATACAGGAGGTAGACCTCGATACCGGCGTCAACCGCGCCACCTTCGCCGGACTGTCTCCGTTCGTAAACGATGTCACCCAGGACCTGCCCAGCGCCGCCGGCCAAGACATAGCCTGTGACTGGCACACTAAGAGGAGGAACCTGCTGTCCTGCTCCTGGGAAGGTATTACTCCGCAGCCAGTGGAGGGCGACCACCCGATGAAAGACTGGGTGTCCTTCAATATCTCCAAGTCCGCCGATAAGCTACAAGCTCGGTTCGAGGTGTCTGGACTGAACACGCGTGCATGCAGGATCGTCTTCGACACGCCAGTGAAGAACTTCCACGTTGCCGGATCTGCATATGACCCGCGCTTCCCGTATGACGCGGCCGGCGTCAACGAGATCCGACTCTGGAGTCGCAACTGGGAGAACCAATGGACAGTGGATGTGGACTGGGACGAGGGTGCTCTGAAAGGCAATGTCGTCTGTCTGTGGAGCGATCATAACCAGCCAGGGGTCATTCCGGCGTTGGACGAGGCTATCCAGTTTGCGCCGGTGTGGGTGGCTGTGACTAAACTGAGCGATGGGCTTGTGGAGGGTCGTCGTGCGTTTGAGATCAGTAATAATGATTAAATGGCGTTCCGAGGCATTCCTGGCATCCTGTTGTATGTCGCTTAGTGTTGCTTTGATATTGTTACAATATAGGTAGTATAGTATAAGCATATGCGGGGGGATCTTTATTTCTAGGTAGTAACAAAAATCGATAAATCTGTGCAAGATTCAACGTTGTGTACGGAAGAAATCATAATGATATCCTAACCACTACCAATCACTCAACCCTACTACTCAAGCAACTCCTGATCCAAGTACACCCAAAAGCCGACATAATCCAAATCATCAAAATAGAAAATCAAAAACCACATCAAAGAACGTCCACCCCCCCCCCAAAAAAAAAGGACCAAAAAACACGAAGAAAGAAAAAGTGAGATCAAAGTGACCCCTTACAGCAACCCACCACGTGCCCCCTCCCTAAGCTCCAGTTCCATCGATAACTCCAAGGGCCGATCCGACCAAGTAAGATCTATTTATATATTTTGACTCCGTTGTATCGCCATCAATGGTGATCAGGGGTATGCCATATTACTCACTTATAATAATAATAATAATAATAATAAATAGATCACCGCGTTACGGTGGCTTTACGAGCTGAGTGAGCTGAGCTGAGCTGAGCAAGGTGTTTGTTTGTCGTACGTTGTCTGCATGGTTTTATTAGATGCCTTGGATCTATCGTTCGATTTAGGGGTTCTGAGTGGGGATGATTTGTCTTGTGGTGTTGTAGGCAAGTAATTTAAATCCTTGTACTCCTCCGTAGGGAAGGGGGGGGGGGGGAATAGTACCGGTACATACGTACCTACATGGGACTTTATTTTATCTCGAGGAGTAAAATATGATAGATCTTACGACAGAGCAGCAGATAGATAAGACAGGTAGGCATTGTACATGCATAGATATAGACGGGTAGATATTAAGGTATAGGCTAGGGTGATATATTCCACCTTCTTCACATTGGGCTCTTAGATTGAGGTCTTTGTTGTTTGTAGTTAGGGATCGGGTTGTGAGATCCATCTCCGACGTGTTGTTTGTTGGTGATGTTGGATTAGTTATTTATTCTAGTACTAGTTAGCTTACGGTTAGATGTTGACGTTGGGAACTACTGGGTAATGCACATACTGTATGCGTGTAATATGTCTGTAGACAAGAATGTATGGAGTCTGCTTATGTGCAGGTATTCTGTTTCTTGTTTATTAGGGTGGGATTGTGGTTGACCATTCTATTGTATATTGTATGTTGTATTCTATGGTTTAGGGTTCACATGGAGTGGAGTCGGAATGCTCAGGGTTTCAAGGGTTTAGTATTGCATACGGAGTACGGAGTACTCCGGGTAGGTTACGCGATTGGGTTAGTCTGGATATCCCCATTCTCCTTGGATTTGGGATCCATGATTAGTATCGACTCGGTCAACGAACAAAAGGAGAAGTAACGTGGGACGGCCACTGAGAACCGAGAACGAAAAAGATCACCAGCCAAGAAAAAAAAAAAAAAAGCAAAGAAACACCCTCAGAGACACACCCAAGGCAATTCTATGCGACGACATTCCAACCGCCGCGCGGGTGGCTGAGTGGTAAAGGAAGCCCTACCCATTCAAATCCATGGGCCGCGTTGGCAACGCAACGATTTAACGCGTTCAACGACCCTGGGAGAGGTCCGGATCCGGTAACCGGTCAATTTTTAATCTCCAGGGACGAAAATAGCCGGTTGAAAGGAATACACATAAAAGTTACTTTAAGGGCGCGGTTGATGAATTGTCCACCGTGGATGACCCTGTCAAGTGCCAACGGGGGAGGGTCGAGACTACGATTGGATCCCGGTTGAGAGAATACGAGGTCAAAAAGAAAAAGCCCTGGGGAAAAAAACTCCCCGGATCAGACCAGCACTAACGATCAATTACTTCAACACCCCCCATTCTTTTGACAATCACCGCCGCCCCCCCTTAACCGCGGACCGCGCTGGGTTTAGTGGGCGTAACGGCGGGAGGACAAAGGCAAGCGGTGTTCAATAGTTTGGCACCCCGGGGTCGACCCAAGTTTATAGTCGGTCTTAGTGAGGGAGTCCTAAGTTGAGGCGAACAATGAACAAAACGGTTAATTGGAGTGTGCGTCTCCGTCGGAGCCGTTTTAGCCGTCTTGGTCGGAGAGCTGGTACCTAAGTGGAGTCCACGGGTCAGATGAAGTCATTGCTTTTTTTTGTTCGCACGGGGATTTTCGTGCGTGTGGGATGGGTTTGTGCTCAGCTTCCAGTGAGATCAAGAGATGACATCCGGAGCACATAGTACATTGTTGGACTGACTTCGGTTCTGGCCCCACGATGGGTCGAGCTGTGTGTAATAGGTTGCCTTGTTGGAAGGGAGAACCAGTCTGTTGGGTGTTGCGATGCGGGATTAAGGGAGAAACCGATCCTGCTAACCAAGTAAACTAATTAAATTTATGAGAGAATAAACCGGGATTGAAGGGCGGTAGCGATGCAGTTGGTCTTGTTCTTGTCCTCGTTCTCGTAGAGAGATCCCCGTCCAGCTTAGGGTTTAAGGCCAAATTGACTCATTTGGGAAGATCCCGTGATTCGCGAGGCCGCCAGACGGGAACCAAAGTACGGCGGACCTAAACGAACGATGCATTTTTTTTTTTTTTTTGGATTGATTGCCCGTGTGCAAGTGGAGTCACTGACACCTGACAGGCAGGAGGGAAGCTCTGGCTCGGTACCTCTCTCGGTCGACATGCAAATTTTAAATTGATTGGGGGGAAACGGAAGCTGTCCGATCCCACCGCTACTACGAACGATACTCATTGGCAAACAACTCACACGGGCTGGATCTGATATGCGACGACCTGGGAAAGAGACCTCGCTTCAGCAGTCGATGCCGCGTTGTCATCATGAGAATAGTATAGCCAAAATGCGATCCATTCGTTTGTGATATCATTGGGGCTTCAGCTCTCCAGTGGAGGAATCCGGTGGGATCTGTGGATGATCGTCTCGCGTCCCCAACCTGTCTCTTTCGGTGCTTTTCCTTTTCCATCGATCGGACAATTAATTTCTCTGTCAGTTTGGATCAGTCACCGGGTAACAAAGGACCGCACACCCTTTTTCTTGGGACCCATTTCCGGTGCTTTACTGATCCAGATGGAGTCCCTCTGATTGTTCACTCCTGCATGGATCTTGAATTTGAGTAGGGCCTGTGCATTGATCCATCATACATCCGCGGAGAATCGATCTGAGGCTTAGAAATCGCTTTTTATTTTATTTTATTTTATTTTTTATTTTCTATTTTTCCTATATTTCTTTTCTTTTATTATTATTTTTTTTTCTTGGTACCTACCGACGATTATTATAGTTCCTCATCTCCACTCCCCAGAAAATCGGCCCCAGAAAATAGGTCACAGCCTCTCACCTGACGAGACCAGTTAATCTTCTTGTCTCATCTGCTCATCTCATCCTTTTCCTCTTCCTCTCTTCTTGCTGACTTCCCACTTTTTACCCCATCTATCTTCTGTCGAACACATACTCCACCTCTCGCGAAGGCTTATTGGGCCTGTTTTCTACGGTGGATGTGCTTTCCGTTCTGGCTGTCCCCCCACAAACGCCAAATCATGCCTCGTATCTATCCGCACGCCTAAAGGGACGAGCCTCTAACTCGACATGGTCTCTGGGCATGGTGCTTCGCCCGGGAATGGTATCACCGGGGGTTATACCGGCAACGACATTGGTTTTAAGATTGCCATTGCGACCCTCGCCGCCGTCACCTGGTACAATGCTATCGAACTCATTATCCTCGTCTTCGTCACCTTCAGCCAGTACCATGGCCTTTACTTCTGGAGTTTGTTCATCGCGTCCTCAGTCGGTCTCGTGCCCTACCAGGTTGGCTTCCTGCTGAAGTTCTTCAACTTAACCGACCAGACATGGCTCTCGGTCACCTTCATCACCATCGGCTGGTGGGCGATGGTCACCGGCCAGTCCCTGGTTCTCTATTCGCGACTGCATCTGGTCTTGGACAATGCACGCATTCTCCGCCGCGTGCTTGCCATGATCATCGTGGACGCCATTATCCTGCACATTCCTACCACTGTTTTAACTTATGGATCCAACCTGGCCGGTGGCCGGGCCGCCTACATCAACGGATACAACATCATGGAGAAGATCCAGATGACCGGCTTTTGTATCCAGGAATTTATCATCTCCGGTCTGTACATCTGGGAAACAATCCGCATGCTCCGCCTGGACCCCGACAGAGGCAAGCGCAAAATCATGTACCAGCTGGTCGCCATCAACCTGGTCAGTATCCTGATGGATGTCGGCCTGCTGGTGGTTGAGTATAAAGACATGTACATCATGGAGACGATGATCAAAGGCGTGGTATACAGCATCAAATTGAAATTGGAATTCGCCGTGCTGGGCAAGCTGGTGCACCTCGTCCGCAGCCATGTCTGGAAGCCCGAGTCGGTCACCCGCCGCACGTCGGACTTCCCCGATTTCGTCGACGCAACCCGGGTTACATCCGATCTCACCCATGCAATGCCAGCCGCACGCAACCGCACGCACCCCTGGATGGACACGGACGACGTATCGATCGCCATGTTCGAGCATTCAGGGCTTTCCCGAGACCAAGAGACCGGCCGCTCGGACGTGTCGCATTCATGGAGCGGCGAAACCCACACCAATCATCCGTATCCCGATCGAGAACTTAGTCCGGTGGACTTTACCTCCCTACATCAGCAGAAGAGCCTCCCATCCAAAACATCAACCGATAGCCCGGGATGACACCCCTAGATTCTTCTATTCTCTTTATCAACTAACCCTTGAAACCTCCATCTTACGCCCGTCCCCTCCACCTGACTCTCAACCACTGAGTTGTCTTCCTCAACGAATGACGAGTTACGAGATCACGACGTGCAAAATGTCTCTTGATATACCGAGCAATATACACAGGAAGGACGGAAGTCCACCGTGACTTCGGATGGACAGAACTACATACAGATAGATACCCACGGGAGGAACTCATGTACAAAGTATACAAAACATACCCCATCGCGCCCGGCTCTCGCCATTTGGACGAGACCCCTGCCGTGCACGGCAGGATGGCCGACACAACAAGGCCAAACAGACAGGCCTACCAGATGAAAGCCGGATTATAATATTCAGGTTCAAGTACATAATTCAACATTACAACCACAATAAAACAATACCATATTCCAAACCACACACCGCTATGACTCCACTGTAAAACAACTTCGGGCAATTCCGCCATAGATTTGATAATTCAAACCAAATGTAACTACATCAAACTATGGTCCCCCGCAACCAAACCTCCATGAATTGTCCTCCCCCACGTTCCGAAAGTCAATTAAACGCCCAGCTTGCACGGAAAATGTATCCTTTGATCACCTGGGTTCGCTATGAAATACCTTGGATTCTTGGATAGTAAGTGTCCGGTCTCCCTTTTCACGGCCTGGCTAGTTACCCCAAGCAACCAAGAAGCATATCCAAGCTAACAGATCCCTGGAAGGGCCTTTCGAGGTCACACATGGCGAGTGCCATTCAGATGCGCACGCATTGGATAGGGCTTTGCCCACTTTCTGTATACGATGAAAGCGTTCCTGATCGAGATCCCTGTGAGGAGAGTCCTTGGCCCTGAGGCGTGTCCAGACGCAGTGTCTACTGTATACTAATCAATGCGAGGGCTTTGCTTAACGATATCACTGAGATATGCGGCAAGGCCGCATACTACAAGACTGTTATCTCGCGCCCACAGGTAATTCTTTAGGTTATGGTGGTTATGCACAAAGCAGGATCAACTTCGTGAGGCGTAGCTGGCACGGAGCTATGGACGATTCACTACAGAGGCAGACGGTGAGGACGTTGATTAAACTGTCACGCGAGAACCTAGAGGGGGTCAACATAGGCTGAGGTCTGGAACTACTCTGTACATAATGAATAGAGGACGGTGCAAATATAGATCTTCTCGTACGTGTGGCTGGCGTTTTGGTTATAGACAGCTTTTTATAAGCGCCTGAAAGCCTACTTAATTAACCACATGATCACGGCACAGCAAACATTTCAATATATACAGACTTTAGTAGTAATAGTCAATGAGTTATCGTCGTTTAAGCGTTGTATTCTTCTTTTATCTCTCTGTATAAGTGCCTTTAGCTATACGGCGATTATTTAGTAGTATGTCCTCGGGGTACTGATAGCCAGTAATTATAGGATACTTACTCCGTAGGTGTGGATGTCTTCATTGTCTTATGGTCTGAATATTTGAGTGGCTGTCGTCCCGATGGTTAAGAGGCTCTTTGATGCGGTGGAATGGCTAAGTGATGGTGTGCAGGGAGGGATATATGCAGCTCCATCTGCCTAGATTGAGTAGCCTGCTACGTGGATGATGTAGTGTGGCCAACACACTACTTCCTCTGGATCTTGGCCGAGTTTCACCCTCTAGTTCGAGGTGTATTGACAGCCCTTTTTTGACCGAGTCCACGGAAGCGTTAAACTGGGTATATCGCCCGAGTGCTATCAAGTATGCAATGTTCCTATTCAACCAAGATCCCGCGCCGTGAACTCGATCACAGCTGGTACGGGACGTACAAGTACGCGTTGGTTATGCTAAATACCCTCTAGGGAATCTACGGGGAACCGGAATTCCGAGTCAGTATAACGAAAGCTCCAAAATATAGAAGACTCTTAAAGCACGAGATGGTCGACGGGCATGCCTCACAGGAGGCAGCTGAACGCAAGGCCCGCAATGCTGTCACACTCGGCTTGAGTGACCAGAAGACGATGGAGCAATTGTCATCCTCTGGAAAGAGGACCTAGGATCGCTAGAAAGACGCGGCACGTCGGCGTGCCCGGAATGAGAGTGCTGGTAGTCAAACAGCAACTCAAGGAAGCACAGGGCAGACTGGGGGTCAGGGACAAGCATGACATCAAACAATTCCATGCTTCAATGGGCAGAATGTGACCCAAAGTTAGGCGGTTCTTCTTGGGCGGCTGTGAAGGCGTCAGGAAGGTGACCTTCATATATCTCTTTATCTTTCATTTTGCCATCAAGGAACTTTTGTATGTCAGGTGTCCAATATGGCGAGATGGTCCGTTCAAACTCCACCATCCCAGCGTCATCCAGTTTCGAGAACCTTGGTTGTATGTACTCTAGGAAGATATTACAGAAAACTTTGGGAGTTTCGAGGGCGTGAAAATACCAGAAATTTCCAGTTTCCAAGCCTTTCCTCATGATACGTGTAAGCCCAAAGGTTTTATTCCCCGCTTGAGCATGGGCTTGTTCTTCCCTCTCGAAGACATTCATGAATTCGGCATGAGTTTTGCTGAAAGCATCGAGATGCTCTCCATTGTATAACTGGTCCACCCCACGGCTAGTGAGCCAGTAGGGTGGATGGAGCATCTCGACCGGTAGTGAACATGTCCACTCTAGATCGACGAGTGACTTAATGTTCCAGTCACTGTCGACAACGAGGTTGCTTGGATGTAGATCCGTTAAGGCCATGATAAACGGTCCACGCCGGTAATCGCGGTAGGAGAAATGAGGCAGCAGAGCTCGCATAATGGTCAGAGTTGACAGCTCTGCTTCACCATCGGCCTTGTCCCGTATTGAATTCGGAGCGTGGCGCAACCGATTGTCGTGACAGTATAGCAGGTCCATAAAGTAGCTATCGCTTGTTGAATATGTAAGGTCTCTATCCATGTTGGTGGGGACGGACTCGTTTTCTAAATGGTGGAGACGAAGCGTTAGAGGGCGATTGGCATGCTTTATAATCCCTTGATTATTGATCGTTAGAGATCCGATGCGATCAAAAGGAGACTGAGCTAAGGATAAGATAATTTGACTCAGCCCGCGAAAAAGGTTGGTTCTGCGTTTTTGGTCATGGCGTAGCTTATCCCAGGATTCAGAAAGCATCACAGTATCGGTACTTCCGACGTGATCCATGATAAGATAGCCAGTTGTCAGGCTAAAAGGGCAATTTCGACTTAAGTAAGATGGTTGGAGCGGATACCCGAAAACAGACGATACTACACGGTGAAAATACCATTTCAGTCGGCTGAGGATGGGGGTGTGCTCCATCGCGGTGAACTAGACCAGTGTTAGATTGACTCATGAATTAATTCGGCAACCCACTCACACATGGACATTGTGCAAACGCAAAACCCCATAATCGAGGTATTGGTATAGAAGTACAGTTCTGCCGAATCCAGATAAAGGTTGCAGCCTCGCAGCGAAGCTTCTCGTCTGCATTGCCCGGGTGTTGAATCTCCCCGACTTTGTACGGTAAAGGAAACCTGATGAGGACCCGTTTGAGCGCATCGCCATCCTGCCCGTCAATGTCAACTGGTATGCACACGTTGAAGCTCCCAGCAATCCACTCTTTGACTTCTCCAACACGGCATGTCTGCTTTTTGTTTAGATTCATGTGATACGACACGATCGATTCGATTACGGCGCGGTTCTGATAAAGATATATATAGAACTCGAGTCGCTGTTCGGGATAGGACAGCTCTTGGAGGACATTGTTATCGTCGGCTAGGGCTGTGGAGAGACTAATTTGTCCATGGAGAAGCGGCAGCACGCGCTGCATGCTGACCGGTCGGGTGGTTTGAGGGCTTTACGGCAAAATAATGCTAGTATAGCCCTCACATAACGTAGAGGGGCGAAGCCACGGATGTATATTCCCACCTACCGGCCTATTGCCTAAGAATGCATGGAGATAGAGGACTCAAGGAGTGAGATGGAGATATAGATCTAAAGAAAGGTCAACATGCCAAGACCGCTAGTCCTCTTTGGGTTGGGTTGGTCATCGGATCGCTTGTGACTCTTGAGTATATCAACGGTGTCTGTTGTGGGTGCTAAGTATCGCAGCGGTTAGAGACAGGCCGGAGACGAAGAGGCTGCGCGGCAGAATATTTGGGAGGAGCCTGGGTCAGCGGCGTGTGGCCTACTTTGCTCTGCAGAATGGTGTGAACGGCATTCTCGGGATCCAGTTGATAAACTCGACCGTCCGCATTCCCTCGTCCCAGTGTATACAAGTATCCCGGTGTCGGCGTTTTGCCCATGAACTCTTCCGCCTCTCTAACTATACTATCTCGACTCTAGGCATCGGCAATGCTAGCTCGACAAGTCTGGTTGCACTCCTGATTTGGTAGGGGAGCATATGTCACGTTTGTGTCACTGACAGCTCCTTCCAATGAACAGGGCGGGGAGAAGCTTCTCAGCTGGTCTGATGGCCCTCTGCCACTGAACACTGTCCTGTAGTCTGTGTCTTTGTACTGGTTTACTGACATATTTCCTCGGTCAATGTATCATTATCGGATGGTAGCCGATGTTACTCTGGGGCCATGCAGCGACACCACACGCTCGAGAACACACTGAGTATCATCAATATCTATTCTCTTTGGCAGGATAACGACCGCGTCGTCCGGTGGCATACCTTCTGGACGCAGTCCACCTGACTTCTTTGAGCCCCATGGCATCGGCTTCAAAGCCGCCGCAGATGTATCGAAATGTGCGCCTCGGCCACCTATTCGTTGTTCTGTCTAATACAAGATTGTGGCGACGATTACGATCGTCGTAAGTTCACACAGACCTATGTGCACTTATGTCTCCCAGGAGCGTCCATTCCAAGACTTATGCTTAGTCTCCTCGTCACACTTAAACTTCTAAGTAAAACGGGAGGTAGGATAGGGCACAGCATAGGATGAGGCCGAATAATTTGCCGCATAGATGGATCGGGTGCTTATGGTGAGGTTCCTGGTTG